ACCTGCATATATCCAAATGTAAATTCACCCTGTCATATCTATACATAACCATATGTAAATTCACCATCATGCCTCATCTGTTCATGTGAAAGACGTACATTGTCTTTTTTATATCTTTATTTTTAGCTGTATTGTGCTTTTTAAATTCTCATTCTTCTTCCTTCATGCTTCATTTGTATCTAGCTGCTGCAACATGTAAATTTCCCTGGTGAGGGATCAATAAAAATTTATCTTATCTTATCTTAAAAGGGGGGTATTCTCTTACTCACTTACAAGTTAAACTAAGCCGGAAAGGACTGGATGGCAGCCAAGCAGGTTTATCTGTAAAGCACCTTATAATACAAAGAGCGTATTCAAAGTGCCTTACAGGCAAAGGTTACAAAACAAATAGAATAGAATATGTAAAATATATAATACAAAATAGTACAGCAGAGTAAATAACAATACACAAATTCAGAGAATGATTCAAACTGATTGACTAAAACAGAGGGAAAAGATAAAAGGTACGAAAAATAAGAACGTGAAGGATAAAATACAAAATACAACACAGTAAAGTTAAATTAAAAAAATAAAATAAAATAAAAACAGTAAACACTTGTTAAATAAAATGCATGCAAATGTATGGATAATATTCAAACTAATGAACTTAAATAGCAGGAAAAGATTAAAAAAAATAAAAACGTGTAAAAGATAAAACGCACACAAAAAACAGTACATTTAAACTAAGCAAATGACAATAAAACAGTACAGACTTATTGCATAAAGTACACAACTTTATAGAAAAATTAATGCAAATTGACTAAAACAGCAAAAAAGACGGAAGACAAGTAGTATATGAATGCATATGTGAATAATAGTGTGGAATTAAACTCCATTGTATAATTAACTAACTCAACAATTTCCAAATATGTTTTGGTCCAAGACTATTCGGAGACTTATAGACAATCGGAAGCATCTTAAATCCAGTCCTATAATTTAATAGAAGCCAGTGCAGGGACCTTCCAGAGTGGGAGTAATGCGTTCCCTCTTCTTGTTTCAAACAGCAACATCTGAAACCTAATATTTTCCACCTGAAAGTGGCTTCTGTCTGTCAGTCTGTATGTTCCCATGATTCACCTTCTAACACCTCGACCTGAACCTGACACCGTATCAGTGTTGAAAAGCAAAACAAGGATGTGAATGAGAAGTTCTGCAGTTGCACACTGAGCGCAAATGTCCCCTATTTTTCTTTTTTTTCATCCCTCCTGTGAAAAATGGAAATTTGGCAGAACAAGCAAGGCAGGAAATCAAAGCAATGTGTATGCTCAGATACACAGCTGGCCTATCTCTGTTCCATCTGCTTGTTGCACACACAGGCCTTTCATATGTCTATCTTAGTGAGGACATTCAGTGATGCAATTTATCCCCAAGCCCCTTATTCTAACCTTAAATCCCCACGACTAACTGCACAGTCCAAACCTTTACCCTAAACTCCCCCTAGCTTTGCCCTTAACCCCTCAAACAGCCCACAGGAGGGGCGCAACCAAGTGAGAGCAGGCGTAAATGTGCTCAGTTTACCAAAATACCCTCAGTCTGATGCTCTAAAACTCTTTTCACAAAGGTATTTATGCATGTTTAGTAGAGTTTATGAGCTGATCCAAGCAGCCATGCATTTCCATACTGGCCCTGCCCACAGCACCTCTACATTTCCAGCCTACACAAAGCACATTGATCCACGTGGTGCTGAGTCATCAGCCCCCACCCACCAAAACTGCATGACTATAAGAGAGAATGGGCTGGTATATTTAGGCGGTCTGTCTCTGCTCCTAGCGGGCTATTTATAGCTCCAAAAAGGGTATAACAATGACGTACAGGATTGGGGATCAGGGTTGAATGCTGACAGAGATTACTGAGCAAAACCGAGGAATTGCTCACCACCTCGTCACCACCACAAGTATTTGGAGCGCGGGGTTAAAACTAAAGGACAATGGATGTTATCAGAACAACAACAACAACAACAAAAAATCTCTCCCTCCTAAAGAGTTCAACACAGATTTGCAGCCAAGCACATTTTGATTTCAATCACTTCAAATTGGTATGATCAATAAAGACTTTTCTATTCTTCTGAATTCCAAGATTTTATTTATTTATTTAAATCAGATTGTCGCTTTTATTAAAAACAAAACACCAACACAAACAAAAAAAAGAAAACTCTCAGTCACATGACAGGAAAATCTGACTTTTCTTTCCACTATTTTCACTTCCTGGAAAACTATTTATCATCCCCGATGACTTCATGCTGCACCAGCTATAAAAAGAAGTTTCCACTCACTAAAACTAACACAACCTTTTGGTCACTCATTTGTACCTGCCACTCCCATCAATTAAACCTGCCTCTGGGTTTCCTAACTGATAGCCAGTGGATTTGCACTTTAATAACTCCTCTGGGTGTTTTGTCATGGCCGGGGGTTCTGGTTCAACAGGAACTGCATCAGATTGGGGAAGCAGGATTTTCTTCTCAACACGAGAAAGCAAGAAAAAGCACCTCCCCTGTAATGGAAGAAATGTAGGTCAAAGTGGTACAAAGTTCTTTCTCTGCAACACCTGCTATTGCCGGAGAGCAAAATTACCCCTCGCGGCTTTAAAGTTTAAATTAGAGACGACATTGTTGGCTGTAGGAATTCTACTTGGAGGTTTTACCAGTTTGTGCACTTCGAGAGGGATAAACTTGACAGTCGATGAGCCTCTGTGGGTTGTGTAATTTCACAGCAGAAACACAAGAAGCGTGATATGACACAGCAAAACCTACCAAGCTTCATTTTTTTTCTGTGTGAATTAGACTCGCATCCGGGCTGGGGACCCAGACGGTTCCTGTTGTGATGGCCATTTCTGCCATCCCAGCAGTGCCAGGGCAAACATCACAGTGAGTAATGAGAGGAACAGACCGAGGGAGGCAGGAAGGGAGGGAGGGAGGAACGAAAAAACAATCCCCAAAACAGGAGAAAAACGGTCCTTTCATCAAGAGACATGCCACAGACTAAATCTGCCTTTTTCTATCTGTCCTCATTTCTCTCTCCTCAGCTTTTTTTTCTTTTCTTCCCAGTTCTCTGCACAGTCTTATGCCTTTTTCATGTTTCAAGGCTGTGCTGTTGAAGTTGGAAGACCAGTTTAACTATTGCTTCATTTAAATGGCCTTGAGGTACAGCAGTTTTTTGACAGAGTTGGCTGAGCACATACATGGCAAGTTGGGGCTATGCCTTTAGACACTGTCAGAAAAAAACAACAACACACACATCTACAAGTGTTTGTGTTGTCTCTGGTTTAAAAATGTGCCCGCCACCAAAGCAGATAACACGTACAGCTTGAATAACAGCAGGGCTTTGGTACACTTTGTCCATTAGTGTACTCAGCTGCCTATTATATGCTGTCATTTACACTTTACATCCTCTACTGTGCAGCAGATTCTACAGCAATGCCGCTGTGCATCCGATGGATTCCTCATCAAAAACACTCAGACATTTATCAGATGTGTCTTTAATAATGCACTAGAACAAGACTTGGAGATAAAAGCATGGGGTGTTGCTAACCTGCTTGCACTCCCTTTGACATCCCGGTAAACAATAGCAGTATCACTTTCTGATTTTGAAACATCATTAAAACATTGGCTAGTTTTTCCACTTTAATCTCATGACACGTGTGCTCGCTTTGCGTTGTAATTGTCGGTTTCCTCTGTTTGATTCTGCACATTTGGGCCTGCAGAAAACAGGAGTTCTGGCAATGCAATCCAAGCGCTCATATTGAGTTTCTGACTTATTATTGACCTCCTGGATGCAGATTGGAAGCTTTCAAGTGTGCACAAGGAGAGGTTGTTCTTTCACTATTTTTAGAGGTCCTTTCCTTGCAATTTGCCGAGACTACAGAAACTGAAGGCTATCGATTTAAACGTGCAGGCGGTTACCTAATCACTTTCTGCAGCTTTGGTTCCCCCGGCTGCAGAGGGAAACGTTTTTTTGTAAATTTGTTTCCGTGTGTCTTGGGGCAAGAGTTCAAGATCGA